GGATTCAGATGAAATGAGTTGTGAGTTAACACTGCTTATTATGAAGAGAAAATGGAAAAGCTTTTGAGGAACAATCAGATTGGTGATACCCACCCCTGGCTGTGCCAGAACAAGACCAATTACCTTCAGCTTCAACACAGCTTCTGCCAAGTAGCTTCCAGTGCAGCTGGCCCCTTCGGCACACGCGGGTTATTACCGGGTACAGGTCAGCAGTCCCAGCCAGCGCAGAGCCAGCTCTGCGGGCACCGCTGCGGACGTCAGGTAGCCCAGGACCAAGCGTTTTCATTCGACACGGTGGCAAAAAATATGAAGTTCTGTCTATGTTCTGATCTCCAGCATTGCTGCTCTTGGAGAAGATGCCACAACCATCAGGATAGAGCAGCGAGGAAAGAAACCCCTGAAACCCCTTATACAGCTCTTCCTGAAAACTGATTGTAACTGATTATTACTTTCATACATGTTTATCAAATTTCCTTTATAATATGAAGAGAATTGTGCCTTTTCCCCTGCACTGAGATACTGAATCCCATTCCCCACCAGCCCTGAGGTGTCTGCTCCCCTAAAAGCAGTGGGGAATTTCCCTTAAAAGCAGTGTCAGCGGTTTGTGTGACCACAGTCCACGTCAGGAGGCAAGGACACACAGCTTTACAGAAAAGAGGAGAAAAAGGTGGTACTTTTTTATTTTTTCTTCAAATACGCAACTGAGAGCTGATAAAATGAACACCCCTATAAACATATCTTAATTGAAGAACCCAGGTTAATAAACACTGAAGTGTGAAGTACTGCACCTAAACTCAATTTCTGAACGGTGTAGGAAGGCACTTCCTGAACTTCCCTTGCATTGAGACATCCCTGTGATATCTTCTTAAAAATATGAGAAAGGATTGCTCCTTTTTGCTTCCCAAAGACAGCAGATGACGCAACATCAGAGTTTGGGGGAGATCTGCATAGAAGGTAAACACACTTTCAGCTCACGGGGTGACCTCTCCCCTCTAGCTGAGGCACTCCATTCACATCCCCATTTACCAGTTTTACAGTGTTTCTGGGGAGACACTCAGTCTTCCTTATTAAAGCTGTTCTACAACAAAGAGATTCACTATACATACTGTGGGACAGGATGACCAAAATCCCCCAAACCATGTCTGCCTGGCCCTGGCTAGGGCCAACAACCTTGCCCCAGCACACAAGGACTCTGAACAGAAAGGTTCAGAGCAGGGCAGGGGCTGAAAGGATGGTGGCTGCTTTGGGAACACATGCTTTCTGGGTGGCAACGGTTAAGACACTTTTCAGCCACCCAATGAGGACAGGCTGAAAGAGTTGGGGCTGTTCAGCCTGGAAAAGAGAAGGCTCCGGGGAGATCTTACAGTGGCCTTCCAGTACCTGAAGGGGCCTACAAGAAAGCTGGGGAAGGACTTTTCATAAGGGCAGTTAGTGACAGAACAAGGGGAAATGGGTTTAAGCTGAAAGAGGGGAGGTTTAGATTAGATATTAGGAAGAAGTTTTTCACTGTGAGGGTGGTCAGACACTGGAACAGGTTGCCCAAGGAAGTTGTGGACAACCCCTCCCTGGAAGAGTTTAAGACCAAGCTGGATGAGGCTTTGAGCAACCTGATCTAGTGGAAGGTGTCCCTGCTGATGGCAGGGGGATTGGAACTGGATGATCTTTAAGGGCCCTTCCAATCCAAACCATTCTATGATTCTATGATTCTATGATCATCCTTCCTCATATAAGGATGTTCCTGCTTTGTATACTGGCTGCTTCCAATCCCATTTGGTGGCTGTCCTCCTGGAGTCCGGGAAGCAAACTCAGGACTGAAGGCTCCACTCTGAGCTTCGGATACTTAAAATCCCTTTGGAGAACTGGCCTTTATGTTTATTTCCATTCAGTTGCATTATCATGGATGTCTTACTAGTGCAGAACCCTAAGGACCTGACTGCTTGGCAAGCTAAATGCTTGTTGCATTTTCTCTATTTTTCCCGGAATGTTCTCAAATTTTAAATAAGCTTTAGGGAAAAATAAATCTACTCGGTTTACGAAGTACAAAGGAAAACATCCAACTGCAGCGTGCCACCTCATGGCAGAACAGCAACACTGCCATGGGTACCAGCAAACACACCTCAGGAAGCCGCAGCCCAAAGCTCTTGTTTATTACTAAGCTGCAACATCCTGCAGGAGTAGCGCTACTTTGGGGGGAAAAAATAACAAGAACAACCCAATCAAGCAAATTCCCTTGCACAAAAAAAAAAAAGTTTGCAAACTAAACCAGGCAGAACTTCTGTTTTAGCAACTTCAGCAATCTCTTACCCTTACAGAAGCAGAATTAATGAAATTCACTTCAGGTGTGAATTTAGCATGGAAACATGTAGGGGTCGCAGTGCTCGTACAGATCTTCTGAAAAGAAAATTCATTCATTCAAAAATAAAATGTGTGGAAAAATGTCTCCTCATCTTGGCTTTACACATTAAAGAACAATTTAATTTGGCAGGATTTACTAGTCTTACTTTTCTTAGCTCTGCATCATATCCAGCTATTTCTCGTAAAGCATTCTGAAGCTAAATTAATAAATGTGCTACAGACATCTAGAAAAGGTACCAAAATACCTGCAGTTGTCAGGGTAAGAAAGCTGTCAATCCTGCAAGATGCAGGAACGTTGTTTTCAGAAGTAGTCATGTTTCATTACTTTTTTTCTATTAATACTCTGAATATGTGTTCCATAAAAATCACACTATACTGTAATTTTAGCACCTGCCTCTTACTGCCTTGAATGACAGGCACACACCAGTGTGGTGTATCGCGACCCTTTCACATGGGCTACGCTACCAACGCTGAAAGCAGTTTCAGCTGAGAGAAAAATGCTGCTTTTATACATCCCAAAAAGTCCCATTCAATAACAGACTCAAGTTTCTCTTCTAAATCCTTTGTTTCAGGCAACGCTACCTAGGACTTGTGGTTTTAAGAATTACTTTAAGAACTCAGGTACTACACTCTGGACAAGACACAAGTAAGGCAAAGCATTAACTGTTCCTTTTCAGCAAACAATTATTTTGCTCAAAGTCATTTTACTAAGAAAGCTGCTAGTCCTACCACAAAGGACAAAGCTCGAATCCAGATTGAGTGACTATCAAATGGAAGTCTTGATTTCTTTGCAGGTGCTATTAATATGAAATAACATATGCAACATTAATTTCTGAAATCCAAACTGTTCTGCAAATGTATATAAGCTTTTGTATTTTTTCCATCTTGGACAGTAGAAAATACAAAATGGAAAAGCACCTCAATAGTTCAGCCATTTTAATGTCAACAAAAGTTTCCAAATACACTGGCACACATTCCAGGGGAATTTTCTTGGATTAAAAAACAATCAACACAGACTCTATTATCTTCTTTCTTTAAACAAAAAAACCTTGTGTAAACACCACGTGTTTTTGAAATTCTGACCAGCTCAGCTCACAGTTACCGAGTCAATCAGGAGCTGCACTTAGGAGCTGGGAAGTGTCTACTGCTGGTCCTTTGCCCAGAGCACTGAATCACACCGGCTCTTCCTCCCCGTATCTACAGCCCAGCGTTACACACAAAGGTTTAACTGGTGCTAATCTCCAATTAGACTGAGTCAAATCAGCATTACATTTGACCATCTGAGCATCTTCTCTCCACAAAACTGTCCACTCTGCTGTCTTTAATCCAATGCACGAGAGATCTACATGCTCCGAACCATGTTTCAGTCACCTTTTGTCGCCCTCCTTCTATTTTTATAAGTGAACTTGTCTCAACTCATACAATAAACTCCTGTGAAAAAGGTCTGCATAGATGTATACTTTATTGTTTTACTCAGGTTACTAATATAATTAGTGAAGGACAATTTCCCAGCAGTAAACTAGTTACACCAACTAATGAATTTATATGGTAATTAAAAGGTCAATAAAACTGTACTATAATATCATAGAGCCTCTAGTAATTAAAGCCTTGGACTATTGAAAATCACTAGACAGAATGAAGGAAGAGCAGCTAGTCACCCGTTTCTCTGCTGAAACAAGTACTATTTTAATAACTGCATATGAACAGCCAATAATAGTATCTGCTGATAAACCATTTCAAAAGACAAAACCAGCTCAACTTGCTCATATCACTAAATGCAGAGGAACAAGCATATTAATCACAGCGCAGTCTCACAGATAGAAGCCTCACATAATTTTCTCGGTGAAGGAGTATTTTGTATAACATTAAAATATTTAATTTTAATATTAATATTAAACAGAAGCCTGGGACTTCTGTTGAATCAACATCTCAATTTATAACAGGACATTAGCTAGCTTTTCCTTTACACCCAGAGTATATTCCAAACACATGGCCAAGGCAAGAAAAAGCGAAAGCTCCAAAGAAGCAAGTAAGTCTTGGTATGAGAAGAGCTTTGAACTGAAAGGCTCTTCTATTACATCCAAATAGGTTCCTGGACAAAACTATACCTAAGCAAATAATTGGTATCATCTCCTGATTCTTGTGACAAAAACTTTTGACATTTCTCAGCAGGCAGAACCAGATTTTGATCTTTCACCCTCAACAAAAGCGTGGGTAACTAGCATCTTTCCCTGCTTACAAACCTGGCAATATTTCAAAGCAAGACGTTGCTATTCTAAGCAATCGTTTTCCCTTCAGCGCTGAGAACACAACACACACCTTATTAAACGTTCCATTGTATGAAGTAATAGTGCAGTTGCAGTCTAAGCACTTATCCCAAAGAAGGGTTGTAGGCAGTCTTAGACTGGCTAGAAAAAGCACTTAGTTTCAGATAGACGCATCCTTATTCAGCACTCATGTACCTGAAAGCTTCTCTACTTTTCTCAGACAACCTGTAAATAGTACAATAAAAAGTCACCAAGAGGTTAATTCTACTTGTCAGTCTTGCCTAGCATGTAGTTACGCATGCTAACTCCTAACCAATCATCTTTAACTGTATTCAAATAATGATTTTTTGGCAAAATAAGAAATTGCAAGGGATTGCATGTTCAAAATAATGATTTATTGATGTAGCTCCTTGCAAAGATACACTTTATAAATTATGGAACAAGTATAGTCCTTTCCACAGCTTTCACATTTTAGTCCTCAAGTCCAGGTCAGTATTTTGAAATGAGATGTTCAAAGGTAAATTAAGCAAAATGGCTTTAAAAAACTACACTAAAGAGCTTCGGTTCTTTCAGAATCCAAGATACATAGACAATAAGCAGCATTACAGTGTCTGCACCACACCCCCAAGCGATATATGCAGGAGAAGCAGCGTACAGTACCTGCACCAAACCTCAAGGTACACTTCATGATGAGCAGTACACAGCACCTGAACATCTACAGCAGCCTCAAAATTTATCTTAGTACAACAAGTGCTCAAAGGGTTTACAGCATCTGTAGCAAGGTTAGATGAAGGGTTATAACACATTACAGTCCCAGGTGAGCCCTGCTTACCTGTGCATTCAGACCTGGCCAATGCACAAGCAGCACCCACCAGCATTTCACCATTGTACTGTGACATTTCCCAAGCAGAGCCACATACCCTGCAAAGTCGTCCTACAGCACAAGAGAACAACTCGCTGCCCATATCCCTCTTCCCTTCACGCCCACCCTCTGGAGAAGGCAGCTCCACTGAACCTCTGTTAAGACCAAATTACATTTATGACCAACTGACATCCCTGCATTGGTGGGGATGTACCTCTGTGGTTAAATTTTATACTTCATGCTTGCTTGCCCTTGATTGTTTTTTCTTAAGGTTGATGTTGACAAAATGCCAGATCTTAAAAGCAAACAAAGTAAGTTTAATTTAAAGAAAACATTTATTTGAAATTCTTTTAAGTCACACAGTTTTAACAGATATAAGACAACTTTCTCCTCTTCACGTTTCAAGCCTTCACCAGACACCACACACACTGTCCCATGGACAGTGAGATTTTCCTGTAACAATTCCTTTTGGACAAACCAGCGTCCAGGCAGATGAAGACTCACATTTGAAGCAGACTGATTTATAAAATCTGTTTAAAAAACCAATCAACCAAAACAAACAACAAAACTTTGTTATCAAATTCTTGTCACAAAGTAAAGGTAATACTCACAAGCTTGATCTCAAAACAAAACCCCAGCCATTCATAATCAAATAGAACATACTGCCTTCAAAAAATTCCCCAGAATTTTAAAATGTTCCAAACATATACACATTTATAATTTAAGTGCTCATTAGCTACAACCTTTTATTCATGCAAGAGTTGTGAGAGGAAGAGGTGTTTCTTAGAGCGGTTTCTCTGAAAATGCAGTAAAACTCTTCACTCGTGCAAAGAACAAAGGGGTGTACATCTTGTCAATGTCAAAAGTAGTAACAGCTGTCTCACCAGTCGATCTGCAAAGAGCATTGTAAGAGTTAAATTAGACACAAGTTGCTGTTTAAGTCCCTCGATAATGCAATCGTGTTCCACAGCACAGTGTGTGCACCAAACTACGGCCAGGATGTAAGCATCTTCCGTACTGCCTCGTTCTGAAAGCACTTGAATGTTGGCTGAATCACACTATATAGAATACACTCCTATTTTAATATAATAGAAACCACTTTCCCCTTCCATTCTTAATCACAGAATGTCAGGGATTGGAAGGGACCTCAAAAGATCATCTAGTCCAATCCCCCTGCCAGAGCAGGAACCTAAATGAGATCACACAGGAAGGTGTCCAGGCGGGTCTTGAATGTCTCCAGAGAAGGAGACTCCACAACCTCCCTGGGCAGCCTGTTCCAGTGCTCTGTCACCCTCACTGTAAAGAAGTTTCTTCTCAAGTATAAGCGGAACCTCCTGTGTTCCAGCTCACACCCATTGCCCCTTGTCCTGTCATTGGGCATCACTGAGAAGAGCCTGGCTCCATCCTCATGACATTCGCCCTTAACATATTTATAAACATTAATGAGGTCACCCTTCCGTCTCCTCTTCTCCAAGACTTGAAATAGCACAGGATGTCTCTCAATTCACTGTATTAATATTGAGGTAAAAAAATCCCCTTTCATTTGTTTCACTTAGAACCCTGAATTCAGAATACAAAGTGACAGCAAAAACTTTTATGTTTACAAAACTTTAAAAAGAAGAAACCCGTATTTCTGAACATCGGTGACAAAAAACATATATCCTCCTAGCTGTGCTTTATACTCCTCTTTATTCTAGTTTCAAAGAGTTTACCCTACTGAGAGGTACAGTAGAATGTGAGCACTACAGAAACTTAATGCTGAAAAGAATGTCTGTGATACTGTCACTTCCTCATAAATTAGATATGAAAATATCTAATAGTTTTTATAAAAGCAATTTTTCTGTTTATGGAAGTTACCCATACTCCCAGCCACCAGTAGTTTACTTCCCAGATTTTATATACTTATGTCCCTATAAAAACACTGAACAGAGATTAAGACAACTGGAAGCCAAGGCCTAAATTCACCCTAAATGCCAACATCAAACATCTGGACAGTCAGCTCGCCAGTAATTTGTTAGAGTGGCAGGTGCAAGAACAGTGGCGATCGGTCTTTCTTGGCTGGTGATCAGAACAGTTGGTCACATGCCCATATTTTGCTCTGCTGGATTATATACTTTGTAAGTGTTACAGCTCTCATATGAGTGCAGACACTCTCAGCTTGCACATCCACAGAGGAAAAGAAATATACCTTAATGAATATATGTTTTCCACACCCCTTTACTAGCACCACACAAAGTCATTCAACCCTGATTCAGTTCTGAAATCTGAAACGCTGCGCATAAATCCTTTACATGGCTAAAATACTGCAGTTCTACTCCTTAGGAAACATCCCATACCATTATAAAAAAGTTACTAAAATCTTGGGACTTCTTAAAGTAAAAGTTCATTACAATATACCAAATCAATTACTGTTTTCAGGACATTTTGTTGAAGTCTCCTAAGTCTCAAAGTCTTTACAACTTCTGTACTTAGTACTGGAGAAATTAATGTCACCTGTTTTTCTATAGTTAAGTACCCCTCTTTGATCTTATTCCCCATTTACTTACTTGTAAGTTATGTGACAAGAATGATGTATCCAGACAAGTTTGTTGAACCTTTGGCGCCCGCTGGAGCACAGCTGTAGTCCTACATGAAAACTGTGATCTGTTTCTTGCGCAGGAACACGGCGGAAATACCTGTATTTGTGGTAGTCAATTGGTTTCTGCACAAAGAGAAAAGAAGTTTCGTGACTTACGAAGAGCACTGTGCAGCTAATTATCCTGAGGTCTAAGTAACTGCGAGGACAGATTGTTAAAACTCTCATTCTTAAAAGCAAGTACTGGTATTCCTTGAAAATACATCGATTTAGGTGTTAATTATGGAAGCTTACACAGAAAGCAAGATAAGCGGGGAACACACCACCCGAACTATGCAAACTCAATGTAAGCTGGTGTAACACTTCTAACTCTTCACAAGTTTCCCTTGACAGACACTTTGTTAATATGAGCATTCTGTAATCTAAATAAATTGACCAAATAATTCAGAGTTCAATTAATTAATACTGCTTATTTAATACAGTTTTATTTAATGCTGTGGAACATAACTGCATGCAGCCAAAACCAGTCTCAGAAAATTACCTCTTCATCTTTCCCTTCTGTTTGTTAAAAATGTTAACAATGTTAAACAAACTACCTAATAGCACCACACATGGCAATTAAGCCTAAGGGGAAGAACTGTTGCTCAAATGTGAAACAGGTACTTATCTGTCTTAAAAAGATTATCACAAACTTGGGGAAAAAAGGTAAGATAAACTGCCATACTTATTTATATTTTATTTTAAAATTAAATTAAATTTTTAATCCTCTGGTGTAATGCAAATCTTCAGGTCCCTTAAAACACCCAGTCTGAGAAAAAACTTATTTAATAAGTCCCCCACTTAACTGTTTTTCCTCTATTCTATTTTGCTACCTACCTCTTCCTTTTTCTTCATTATTACAGCAAATACTTTGGTTTGATTGTCTGTTTCCTGGGAAAGGCGATAATGGCCAAGCAAGATTGCATCCGTTCTGAAAGATCAAGAGTAGGACAGTGTCAGGGACATTAAAAATACTGTCTGTCTCAAAAAAGTGATGTACTTATAATACAAATATCAGCAATGAAAATAAGACTGATTGTATATCATAATCAAGGCAACCATTTTTTATTTCCATTTAGTAAAGTACCAGGCTCATTGATGATGCTAAATCAGGAAAACATTTTGGAAGGTTGCTTTTAATTCTCCCAGACAGGACACTAAAGATAAGCTAGTCAGTTCTACCTGGCCTATTGCTAAATATTTTCAGGCTTGTGGTGAACAGCTCAAACCTGTTCTGAAGTCACAAACGATATTCTATGTTTTTAACAAGTTTGTGCAAACATCAAAAAGAAATCAAGCAATAATTTAGTCATATCCCACCAAAATCTTCACTTTCCTTCAAACAGTCAAGGAAGTGTGAGAAGGCAGTCAATAAACGAAAGAGTATCTTTAAAAGGATTCTAAAACCACCAAGCTAATAGCATGTATTTTTTCACCAACTTCCTTTAGAAGTTTAAAAACACATAACCCACAAAGGAAATCTAATTACAACATCAGGACTTTAATTTATTAAAGATATCTTTGCATAAAACCCAAAGTTTTTTGTAGTTCTCAAAAGAGAACTATAAACAACTGTAACACAATACAAATAAAATTGTACTTTTACTCCTGTTTTGTTAAGCCAGGATATAGAATCTGAGACAAAAGTAAATAAAAATTGCCAGGAAATAGCAAGGTGAAAACTGTAGAAAATATTTTATTTCAATAACCTTGTATTTTTAGTCCGTAAGCGAGGAACTATAGACTGCGGATCTTCAGGAGTTGTTAGCATCATAACTTGACCATCTGGAAAGAATCTCAAATACCTGCAAAAATATAATTACACAATAGAAACCTATAAAACATTCTTTTTCTTTTGTGTTTTGTTGGCTTTTTTTTTTTTTAAACACAGGATGTTTCCCAGAAGGATACAGAACTTAATATGTAATAAGATTTGAAAACATATTACTTCATACATGATATAACAGAAAAAAAGAGATCAGAAATCAAAAGAAAGTTCTGAAGATGAGAAGATCAAGTTATGAAGAGTTACGGAAGAGAGCAGAAGTTCTGTCACCTCTAATCAAAGTGAGAAGGCTACCCTGGAATAAAAACTGACCTCAAGTAAGTTTCTGCATTCCTAGCACTGATTGAGACCAATGCAACAAAAGCTTAAATCCAGTATCAGTACAGAATGAACAATGTCATATGGATTTCTTCAGGTTCTGGGATCTGTTCAATTTTTGCAATACTTGGATACTGTGCTGATGTTTGTGAGACTACAGAAATAGCCATGAGATTCAATGATTTCTATTGACAGTTTCCAGCCTCAGAAGAGACAGCAGAATGGGCAAGAAACACTGGGAAGAGCAAGATGAAGAAAGAGCAGAAAAACAGGCTGAGGAAACAAATGGCAAGGTTATTTACAGCAAGCTGAGAAAGCTCAGCCTCTTGATTATTTACCATTGGTTACCAATATGTTAAAAGACAATTCTTGTACAATCACTTGTTTTCCCTTGGCTGGAAACAATTATAATATCAGAAATGTAAAGCAGAAGTGATTTGGGGAAAGAAATCTGTGGACAAGTATTACTGTTGCTACTGTGTAAGTTTTGTCCCCATGAAATAGTATAACTGAGGACAAAATGTGTTTCTAAGTCGATCTCTAATTATCACAATAAATCCTATTTCTGAAGACTTATTCTCAAGAAGTAGACATAGCTTTAAACACTGTAGTAGTTCCACTGAGTTTTATAGAATGATTAATGTTTGTGACATCAAGGGCTGGATTTCAAGAACTTAAGAGAGAGAAACATTCCACTCACTCATTGTACTAGAGTTCTACCTGTAATATTCCACTTGGTGCCATGCTCTATAGAAACCATCAAGAGATTGTTCTCCTTGACGTATGTATTTTGTCTTGCTGATATATACACCTACAGGAAAGGAAGATGTAAGTATACAAACAAAAAATTAAGTACAATAAATATTTAAGATAAAAAAAAAACAACCATCTAAAACTTTTGCGTTTGCTTTTGTTAATTAAAAGCATGAAAGTTTACTTTTGTTCCTTGCACACTTCCCTTCTCTTTACAGCTATTCTACAGATTCAAAAGCCCAAACAAATTCAGATTAGTTCTAACAACAATGTAATAAACATCAAACCCACCTGATTGCTTCTGTTATGGCTACATGCAGTAAAACAACTGTTTCCAAAAGTATACCTTACCATCAAATCGAACACGAGGCCTTTCCAAAAACATTTCCCTCCAAGAGGCGTATGGAACAAGTTTATTGCAGCTCCTGCCCCATATTTTCAAACAGACTTGATGCCAGATTTCAGGATCTCTAGTGAAAATGAGAAAAAAACCAAATCCCATAACTTCCCTGCAAATCTTGATCAGCTTTTATGTATCAAAATAACACACTCATTACTTAGTTTGGATGCAACTGAAATAAACTTTCCTGAACAACAATAGCTCATAATTTAAAATCATTGACTAATTTACTTAATCCTGTAGTGTTTGAAAGCCACTTCCTCCTCCCCTCAGTGAAATTCAATAACACAATGCCATTTTCAGCCAAGTACACAACAAGAACATTGCAGCAGCCTGGCACCTCTCTGTGTGGCTATATGAGGATGACAACACAAGAGACATTATTTTGGACTGACTTTCAAACAAGGTAGAGGAAATAAGACTTCCAGCAACATTTTTTATTACAGTGAAGCCATCTATCTAGCATACCATTTAGTGGTGTATTCAAAAGCTGATTAGCACTGTGATGAGCATACCATGAAAACTGCCATGGAAAGAAAAAGCAGGACATAGTCCTACGTGTATGATTTAGCAGCCTAAAAGCAAAAAAACCTAGATCCACCTCTACATACTGCTGAAACATGCTTGAGTGTAAAAAAGCTCTTTTTTCTTCCTTAGAGCAGAGAGAAGCTTCACTCCAGATAACTTATCTACAATACCTGGCACAAATGTAAAATCCTCGACAAACAAGAGATAATTGCTCTAATGATCTTAGGTCCAAATCACTCGAAACCACCCATCGGAAAATGTACATTAGTACTTCCATAGGCAATACTGCAAAGAGAAACGAAATCCTTGTTAGATGGTAACCTGTAAATCAATAGGTTATCTATAATAATTCCAAGTTTGACCATTACTGAAGTTCTGACTTGCCACAAAAAAATCCTTTTTCATATTTCAGCCAGATGCCAGGGAACAAAGAAATTACCTTTAATTAAAAAAAGTCACTGTACATTAAAAAAAAGTCACATAATGAAAGAATAAAAATCAAGAGCTGAAAGTGCATTATGGTAAGATGACAGGATAAAACATAGTTTTAGACTACAAATATCCACAACTGTAAGGTGTTATACCAAAAACTCCACATACACGTTGCACATCCACAGTGCCTGCAAAGCAGTACTTCTTCAAACTGCCCTGTGTAATGTTACTTCAAAGCATCCCGCTTCTGCGTGACGAGGTAAATAAGCTCAGGTCAGCTCCAATGAGCTATGGGATAGGAGGTCCTAAGAACAACCTGTACGCTATGAAATCCATAGGATACCACTCTTTATTTTGTAGTACAGGTCCAGTGATTGAAAATAGTATCACACAGCATTTTGTGTTGAAAGACTTTTTCTAATGTGATACAAGATAATTACAGAATCCTCATCAAAGCTCCATAAGATCATAGGACAATTTTCCTAGCATTGAAAGTTCAGTGACAAAGCCCTGGGAAATTAAGCCAAAATTCTTTCTAATAATCCTTCTGCCTCCCTAAATTTTCTCTGTTGTTTCAGTTGGGTATAATCTTGTTTACTGATCTTGTACCATCAAAAATTACACCTCACTTATTTTCAACTATTGCTGCTTTCCAGAGCCTATGGCTTGAAATGTACCACCACATACACAGAAAAGTTGATGATTTTACTCAGTATAACTGCTTTGAGATCAAATGGAGAAAATAGCTGAGTGGCACAATGGTATGCTAAACAGTAATTAGCTGTAAATGCCCTAGTAGAGACTGCAATTCAACAGAATTCTGATTTTTAGTAAAAAAAATGCTTCTTAAACAAACTGCATTGCTGCTCTCCTACAAATCCAACAAGACTGTTTTTTTGCTATAAAATTTGATGAAAGATAAAGTTTCACATTTGAGAATACTAACATGACAAAAAGTACACACATTTCATTCAGCACCAGTTTCTATATTCATTTAACACACACCTCATTTCACGAATCTGACTTAATTTTCTTTTATTGAGAAGTCATGAATTTGCTATATTGCCTGTATTTGCAACCATTAAATTAATGTTCTGGTATAAACAAAAGTTGTGCAGATGTGTTTATTGCTGCAAGGTACAAAACAGTCTCTGACCATTTAGGAGTATTCTGGTTAACTAGGTACCAAGAAGGTTAACCAGTATTCTAAGATTATGAATGCCAATAAAATGTAAAATGGAACACAGGAAATAAATTCAGCCAAATCCATTTCACACTGTTTCAGTTTTCCTTGGGCTGCTGAGGTCTCTGACTGTTGTACCACTGTGACGACCAAGAGGGATCCTTTCCAGCCTACTAACTTCTGAAGCACATACCATGATTTTAACAGTTTTCACTCTGCTGTAAAAGAGTCAGTAAACAAGCTATGGTAACATGGGACTGCTATGAAGGCAGAAAATAAAACTAGAAAGAGAATAAGACTGTTGCTCAAAAGAGACATCTCCTGAGATTATTTTAAAGTAATGTCTACAACATCTTGACTTTACTGGCGAAAAAAGAAAAGATGCTTTCCCGATCGTACAACGCCACAGTTGTTAAAATAAAATAAAAACCAAATCCTGTTTTCTTTATGCTTTGACTTGAACAGCTTGCTACATTTACTTTATTTTCCTTCCTTGAGCAGAATGGAGGAGATCAGGACAAGATTTCCAAGAGCAACTGATAATTCGGGATGCAAAATACACACGCTGTAAAGGCACCTGGTTGTAAGAGAGTTCATATCTTATGTACACTCTCTACAATTTAGATCTCGTAAGGAAGTCTCAGGGTGACGATCTGGGAACTGAAGCACTGAAAATCATTCATCTTCAAAAGCCTTTCTAACTATGTTATATAGTCTTGCTGAACATGAAAATATATTTATTGTAAACATGTGATACAGAATCAGACAAAAACAGGAAATGCAAAGATGCATATTCTTCACAGAACAATTATGTCTCATTCACACTTAAGAATTGTAATAAATATTTGAAAACCAAAACAAAAAAACCCCCCACATTTCAGTTTTTCAAACATTAACTGGAAGGAAAACGGGAATATACTTACTTCAGCAAGTCTGTTCCTAGAAGTTTCTACTTTTAAGCATGACTCTAATCCTGAAAAATTCTACTTAGCTACAGTACCACATGGAAAAACTTGTGCAATAAAGGCAAAATAATGTCTGAGAAAAAGATCTGTTTAGCTCGTTGATGGTATTTTTTCCTTTACATCTAACTAGAAAAGTAAATAAAAAGATACTGTGTACATTTCTTTAAAGGTGGCTTTAGAATGAAGGAGACAAGTTTTAACACAGTAACACATTTCTATAAATTCGGCCTCTGAACTCTTACAGTGTATCTTCACTCATACCTGAGATATGGGTCTGGCTGACATCAACCTCAGGTTGACAAAGTTTGACTGAAGATTCCTGAAGAGTTAACTGCTGCTGGAAATCTGACAGGAGATCAGCCATTTTGTCATCCTCTGTGTTATCCTCAACACTAGAAAAGAAGGAATGCCAACACTGTGATATTGGACAAAACATACCAACAGATGTCCTTATCTTGGCACCAATCCACTGTCTTACCCTCACTCAATATAGCTGCTTCCTGCATGTTGTTAAAGCAATCTCCTTTCATCATATGATAAAACAACTACTGCAATCTTATCAAGTTCACTTAGATTTTGCTGGAATCCATCTGACAGTAACCATTTTTTTTTTCTATTTAATTCCAATTGCAGTATGTTTGGATTTGAGAGTTCACTGTTCACTGTTATTAGTGAAGTCACTGAAGAGTTGCTTGACCCCATGTAAAGTTAAATACCATCTTTTATTTTGTCTAAGATAAGCCGTACGCAGGGAACAAATTATCATTGACAGAAAGTTGTATTTTGTAATCCTTGTCACGATGCAAGACAGTGAAAACAATTTTTCTTTTGCTCTTGCATGATCCTCAATGGGTTCATTCACCAGGAATGAAGGAAAACTTTCCTTTAGGAAAATGACTTTTTACCAGTTCTGTAAAGAGGGCAACATAAAAAAAAATCAGGGTCAAGTACAAGATGGCAGAACAGAACCAATATGCTTGCTGCTACTCGTCAGTAAACTCGAAGGATTACTAAGTGGTAAAAGAACATTATCATACTAAAAAAAAAATCTAAATTTAAGTTGTATGTCATAATATGATCCTTCAACAGGTGGAGGTTTGCTTGCACCAAGTAACCACAAACTACTCAACTCTCCTTGATCCCATCACAAAACACTTTCTTTCCCCTGACCTTGTATACAAGCTAGCTAAGAGACCTTCAGTCACTTTTTAATATTATTCCATTCCACTCTAAACAAGCTTAACAGAGTGAGCTAAGAATATAAGCAAGCAACTGGTAGACCTGTCAATAGGTTTTTAAGTTATTATAGAGAAGACAATTATGATTGGGCCTGTCACAAGTAAGACTATAATAAAATGTTGCATTGAACATACCTTCCCTGACTTTTATGAATACGATGGCCAGCCCCAGTACCTACAGGCCAGAGTGTAAATTGGTTTTTTCAAATCTAATTGTGTCATTTGTTTTGTCTCACCAAGACTGTATGAAACACCTACAACAGTAATTTAGAAAGCAAAAACACTACAACTAGAATATCTTGAAAAAACACACCTCTACAAATACCACTTTTAAGCAACAATTAAGAGTACCGGCTGTTTTTCCCTCATGTAGTGCTGGGGACAGTGCAGTAACATTTACAAAATTGAATGAAAATTCAAAGAATCATAGAATCGTTTTGGTTGGAAAAGACCTTAAAGACCATCAAGTCCAACTGTACACATGATAATGCCAAGTCTGCCTCTAAGCCTCTCCACCTCCCTAAGCACCACATCTACACATCTTTTA